CAACCATTGTTAAATGAGTTTTTCGTAGGAGTGTGAACACAATCAACAAGTAACTATACCAATTACCTCATTGCTCTAACATGCAAGCTCTTAGCAAATCCTCCAAAGATTAAATAGTCCTCTCTGTATGACCGTCCGTCTACAGATGGTAAGCAGAACTCAATTGTAACTTAGTTCCTAAAGCTTCCTACAAACTCTCCCATAATCTCGAAGTAAAACTCAGATCTCAATCTAAAATAATACTCAAAGGAACACCATGTAGACTAATAATCTTTTTAATATAGACCTCAACTAGCTCACTAAAATTTGGAGATCTAGTTGTATACTTATTCTTTTCAAAAGTACTATAATCATAGTTTACAGTAGTAGTGTTTCTAGGACCAGAGGTTCCAAATTCATTAGACATTTTTTCTTTTAGGATCTTTTTATGTACCATTGTTAAGTGTTAAAAGCACAAACTGTGCTCTGATGACAACTGATGGTGAGAAAAATACAAGAATGGGGTTGAACTGTGTTATCTATTTTTCTTCTTTCTTGAAAAATCTCATATCATATTCTGAACACAAAGTTTAAAATCTGAATAAAAGTTAAGTAATTAGCAGCGGATGTGAACAGTTTAGAGGCAGAAAGTAAATAATGAGAGACACAAGCAATTATCTTGGTTCATCTAACAAATCGAGAGTAGTCTGGTCCCCTTGTACTTACAAGAGATTTTCAATATAACCAAACAAATTATAATTGCTCAAGTATAAATCAAGAGAGTTTCAATGCTCAAACACACAAGTAAAAGACTTCTATGCTCAAGTACACAAGTAAGAGACTTTCAATTCTCAAACACACAGGCAAAAGACTTCTATGCTCAAGCACACAAGCAAGAGAATTCAAATGCTCAAGTACATAGCAAAAGACTTTTTAAACTCTAACTTACAATTAAGATATTGTGAAAAACTAAATTTGATATACAATCAGAGTTGTAGATAAAATACAACGCAGAAAGACTCTTTAAAACTTAAGAATTTATAGAATATATAAATGTTAAAAAATTCTAAGTTAAACTTGTGCTTCTCATTTGATAGAGTAACAACTATTTGAATGTCAATAACTTCTTATTTTTATTCAAGTTTTCAACTCCTGATTTGGATCTTTATTTTCTCTTTGAATGTTCATTCTTAGAACCAATACTAAGTTTTTTTCCCCTAGAAATCTTAGTCTATGATCCTGCACACTTGAACCTTTGTTAGTATACCCCATTATTCTTTAAATACTTTGTTATCATCAAAAACTTAGAGATATGGTACAAACCAATCTTGTTCCAACAAAACACCCTTCATTTGGCTGACTATTAGGCTACAAAATACACTAAGTCCCTAACGTCTGATGAACGTGTCGAAGGATAAATTTGCGTAACCCTTTTCGATATTCTGGACATGTTTTAAAGAGAGAGTGATCATAATCTCGTGGTCGAACCATCTCGGTCTACATGACTAGTGTGTCAAAGACTGGGTCTCTTCGTACTTAATTATTTTCCAACGTGAATATCATCATTCTCAGATGAATCCTTCAACTAGAATTTTTAGGTTAACAAGTAAAGATAAATCACTAGAGGTTTTTCCTTCTAGAAGGCTTTGTCCTTAAAAGAGACAATATCATTTTGGACATCCTCTATGTCTTCCTCCAACCTCTTCTCAAGAAGATCATCTGTCTTAGAAAACTCCTTGAGCATTGCTAGCTTCACTTTAACCCGGGCAAGCTCTTCCTTAAGCTTATTAGCCTTTTTTTCTTAGTGTTTCTCAGATTCCTTTATGCGATCATGTTCTTCAGTAACATACTTTAGAAAATCTTGAGCCTTAGTCACCGCCTCCTGCTAAGCGTTCAACTTGATTTTTAGACCAGCGACCAACTTGTCAGAGTGACAGTAGGAGACAAACATTGTGCGCTCTAGTAGGAACCCCCTAACATATGGTTCTCCAACGCATTCAACATATGAATTCTCATATGAGCTGTCATGCAATGATCATTAGGGATGTCAACAAGAAAGTCCAAATGCGTTTGCACAAAACTCCGGGTGTAAAAATCCTTACCTAGAGGTCTTTAAAAAAACAACCTCACCTAGAGGGACTACACCTTGTTCCCTAAGACAAAAGATGAGGATTTCCCCTTCATTGATGTTCCATCCATATCGAAAAAATTTCTAGCGACACATCCAAATCAATGGTGGTGCAATTTTCATGTCAGTAGAGAGGCGACTTTGTGAAGTATATCCCGCTTATCCAGCCAGAACATGCTTCATGAACATCATAGGGCAGGTGGAAATGATAGTTATTCATCACCCATCTTCCTTTTTCCCTCCCTCAACATGCCTTTAGGATGGCAATATGGATCATCAAACCATCTCTCTCCTCGAACAACCTTCTGCTTGGCATGGAGAGCCTTCTTCTATTCGATAGCCAGTGGCGCCATAAATCTTACAAGCAGAAAGAGTAGTATTTGCCAAAGATAATATGTAGGTTGTAAACACCTGGATAATGATTAAACTTACATAAGTAGTCTCCAATCTCTTTGTCACCATTATCACTCTTGCCAAACTCCACCATCTCCCTAGAAACCATTATACAAAATTTGCCCAAGATATCAACGACATGTCTTTCTGTTTTGGAGAGAAACTTATAATTGAATTCATTTATCACCATAGGCCCCCCCATATAGTAAAACACAAATCGATTTTTTTGTTCTCTTGAAACATTACCATAAATTGATCATCTCGCCCCTCGCTCTTGCGAGTCTATCTTTCTAATTTTTATAATAATTTAAATTTAGGGGTGAAGAGGACCTTCCCGGATACGTCACCTAAGCTGACATATTCGACCTTGCTAGCAATCTCAGTGTTGTAGAAGGAGAAGAATATACCCACAGTGGGAGAGACCTCCAAATTCCTGCACAAAATATCGAACGCCCTAATAAATGCCCATCAATTTGGTGATATTTAAGAAGGAACGACATTGATGGTTTCAAGCACCTCATACTTAAACATTGTGAAGGGAATTAGCAACCCCAAATCCTAGATTACAAGAAGGTACAGGTAGAATAAGTCGCCCCTAAATGACTTAAAGGCACCATATTAACCCTTTCATCTTTAGAGAAAGACTCCAAGATGATGTCCTCCTCATCCCCTGAGCCAGACAAGTTCAAACCCTTACGGAAATAGTCTACCTTCTCTTGCTTGATATACATTGTAATAATTTCTGGCCCCCGATCTTTTAGAAGAGTTGGATGCCATCAATGATCCTGACTATCAAACATCTTTTTAAAAAAAATCCTATAGTCAACCGTCCCATCAACTCAACTAGTGTGTTTCATACAAAATTCCCACGTCTCTGTAAGCTTAGAGGGTTCAACCACATTGCCAAAATGATCTAAATATCTAATAATTTCCATTTACTTGATAAAGTAATGCTTGAGGGTCTGTTTGGATTGATGGAAAGGGATGAAATGGAATGAAGTGGAGTGGAGTTATGTTCCGTTGTTTGGATTTACAAAAATTGAATGGAATGGAATGAAGTATGATGGAACACATTCCATCCAATACCACTATTTTGGCCCATTTTTCATTCCCCAAATTGGGGTGTATCCAATAGAATGAAATCAATTAATAAAACAGTTACAAATTTATCCTCCAAATTTTCACTTTTATTATTAATCGTTCCTATTCCATATTTCAATCAACGTGATATTTTTCTATTAATTCACTGCAATTTTTCTCCTTCACAGACCTTCTTCTTGCTTGCAAAGAGTCTACCTTTCTTCTACCCTAACAAGGTACATCATATTTCTTCTCATTTTTTACCTGTATTTATATGTGTGCTCTATTAAATTAAATATCTTGATTTATCTTCATGTTCATGTCTTTTTCATTTTTCAGAAATTAGGTATAGTTACTAAAAACAAAACCTAAAATTATGATTTATGTTGCTTTATAGTGTTTTGTATGTTAAATTAACTTTTTATTAAGAACAAAAGTAGAAATTAGATTTGTTGCAAAACTACTATTCCTATTACTTTTCACTACTATTCACGTTGATTGTATTCTTATTATGTATAGAGAAAAACTAAATTAGTTACTCTAACATAAAATTGGCTAATAATACTATGTAGTATAATAGGAAAATAATTATTAGTAACATAAGTGTGAGAATGTTGGATCCATCAATAATGTAGCAAAGGGTAAAAATGAAATAAAAAAGTTATAATGCTTTTCGCTCCGTCCAATTTCCAATCAGTAGAATGAAATATTAATTCGGCTCCGTTGTAAAATATTCAAACAATGAAATTTATATTCCGTTCCACTCCATTCTATTCCCGCTCCGTTATTTTTAAATTATTCAATCATATCCTAAAAGACTCATGACTCATTATATAATTTTAACATGAATCAAATTCAATCCAATTTTAATTGAGCAATTGAAATAAATTGCCGTCTCTTCATCTCAATTTCACCTACTTTCACGTGGGTTTTAGTATCAAATATCAATCGGAAACAAGTTGGAGTCGCAGCACTGAACTCAACCACCCGCTGAACGGAGCCGGAGTTTTTCGTTGCCAGCCACAAACAGTAACAAACTCCGTCCAGGTTTTTTCAATTTCATTATTCTCTTAATAGATTTCCCTGATGCGACCTGCGGCCGAGATGACTGCTCCTGCCAAAGGCAAATCATCAGAGAATTTTGCGTCTGCACCGCTATTCCCCGATTAGACGCTGCTAAAGTAGAAAATTTAGAAAATTGTTCTGGTCATGCTCAAGTAGATAACAATTAAGATAGTCAAATTGTGTTGATTAGGTTTTGTTGCAGGCTGATTATGGTGTTTAATATACAGATTGAAACTGTAACTGCAGCTTAGGGTTACAATATGTTCTGTTCATTTCTTTTTCAATTAAACGAATTGAATAAAAATTCATATTGAAACAGGTTGTGCAAGGTTCCTGAACTTTACTTTCTTCCACAATGGCTAACAAATCTAAAGAAGAACCTAACACTGCTCCCAAACCTGATACGTGGTACAATCTCACACTAGGACCTTCATTTAAAGACGACTCCGCTAACAAATACTGCACTCTCCGATGTAAGCTCTTCCCAACATATTACCTAATACTATTCTGTATGCTGTTTTGAATTTTTTGATTTTTATGTGTTGAACTTTTTATAGATGAATTTAAGCCGGCTTCAGTTGATAAGACTAAGCCAGGATTGCTACGCAAGAGCAAAGAGAATAGAGTTTCTGTGGAGTTTCAGAACAACCAAGTAGGAAAACCCAAGGTCACGTTTGAGGGGAACAGCGAGGAATACAAGGAAAACGATGCTGTCTTGTTCTTTGATGGTCGTACACTTCGATTGGAGCGGCTTGATAGGGCTGTAAAGCAACTGCGGCATCTTCGAATGCCTGGGGAGTCTTCCGCTGTTGTGTCTGGAACTGTTACTGCTCCATCTGGACCAGCTTTGGATCCTCGGTCATCCCCCATTGGGAAGCCTCTAAAACCAGCATCTTTTGGCAGTGCCCGGAGCTCAAATCAAGCTGTTGCAGTAAGTGCTTACCAACTATCTTTAGCATAGTTGTTTGTTTAGTAGTCTTGTTCATTACACTATAAAAATCTATGATGGTGGACTCTATCATTTATATGGTTATTTTTTAATATCTTCAAATTTTCCGTGTTTCTATCGAAGTTGATTCCTTACTGAATACATATCCTTGTCAATTGTGATATAATTTGTGTTTGTAGAACTATACCTGTAAATAGATATTTAATTTTATTGGGCGGGGCAACTTTAACTTGATTGTTTACATAACGTACGTACATAACATACAATTCACTCAGCTACTTCTCACTTGATGCTTCGGCAGATATTTGCATCCTTGAATTACTGGATATTTGACTTTCTTTCTTTTTGGTTCTTATGTACTTCTTAATCGAGGAAAAGAACGTGGATTATAATATGACTTGAAGCCGGTGATTTATATTTTTGAAGTTGGTATATGTTGGGCTTCTAAGTGAAGCACATATACCCTTATAAATCTCTTTTAGAAGGTGTTAACATTTTTTCTGTTTTGCATTCTATCGTGACAGGAGGGAAGTAAATGATTCATTCCTTGTATTTACCTGTTTTCTACTTTTAGTTTAATTTCTTATATTTACATTGATTCTGCACAGGTTGAAGTGGAACGAATTGATACGGGTGAACCTGAAAATTCTGGTACGAATGATATGAATAGAAGCTTTCTCGCAGAATATCTAGACTCTATTATTGATTTTCTGATGACCTGTGAGATAGTTTCAGAGATTTGTGTTGTATTTATTGAACTAAATTTAATATTGTACTTATCATATGACAGACATCAAATCTGGTTCGAAGAGGTCATATGATCAATTAAATGAACCACCACATGTTTCTACTACCTCACCAGTTGCCATAGATGAAGTTGAGGAACATAGAGATATAGACATTGATGACCTCTTTGGAAGCGGAACACCTGAGGATGACAATAATGTTGATGACAATAATGTTGAAGTAAAGGATAATGTTGGATTTGACATGAATGTTTCAATCACTGATGATGAGATAGCTGATGTGTATGATAGTGGTGATGAGGTGGACAAAGGACCCAATGCTGCTGAAGCTCTCAGAGACCAAGTGAATGCAGAGGGGAAGGGTGAAGAAGCAGAGGGGAAGGGTGAAGAAACATCTAGTTCTAGCAGTAGCAGTGACAGTGGAAGCAGCAGTGATAGTGGTAGTGGAAGCAGTAGCAGCAGTGATAGTGGAGGCAGCGATGACGACTCAGTTACTTCAATATAAAATTTTACAACCATGATATTTTTCTTTATTTTCTTTTTATCATTTATGGTTTTTGTTGCAAATAATCCAATGTATAGAATGTGTTTATTAAGCCTGGGTTAGAAGAATGTAGATTCTATAAGGTTGGGAATTTTGTTAATACTGACAAAATATAAATATGTTGTTGTTGAAGGAAACTTTTAGAAAAAAAATTGATTCCTGTATAGGTAAAATGGGGATTTGAATTCAATTCAAAATTCTAAGCAAATCAAATGAATTAATTGAATTGTTTTTTTTAATTATAGAGTATTAAATTGATGGTTTAATATATATTTTAGTCATAAATGTTAATCTCGAAGTTCATTTTAGTTCTTTAACTTTAAAAAGGTCCACATTGATCTCTTAATTCTTTAAAATGTTTTACATTAGTTATTTTTGTTTAATTAACGACGAATTTAGCAATTGATTTTTAAATTTCTCCATCGCTAATAAGATAAAAAAGATTAATATATAACATTTTGAATAGTTAAAGACCAATTCAGACAATTTTTAAATTAAGGGATCAAAATGAACATTAAATTAAGATACGTGACAAAAAATAATATTAAGCTTAAATTGATTTATTGTTACATTTTCAAGGGCATTTTCATAAATTTCAAATTTTGTGTCAAATTAAAAATATGATAGATACAAATTTGTAATTTTTAAAATTTTGAAGAGATTAATTTATAAAATTTGAAAATTATTAAGAACTTATTTGTAATTTTGAAAGTAAATTAATTTCTTTTAATAAAATATGAGTATCATCTTACTGTAATAAATATTTAACATTTGCATTATACAGAGTAAAAAAATAAATTTAAATTTTTATTTAAATTCTTTATTTCTTAGTCTCATTTGAAATTTCTTAAATTGTACTTAATAAAATACTTCATAATTTTTAGGTGAGTTTAATAAGTCTACATATTTTTTTATCCAAACAAAATTTTTTAATCAAATCATTTTAAATTCTTTTAAAAAATTATTTTTACTCGTTATAATGCTCATTCCAATTACATTCTTAAGTTTTGGTAAGGGTATCTTTGATTAATCCTTGGTTCAGATATTGTTGAAAATTCACCTCACGCCCTATGAAGAATTCCCATCAATCTTGATCTCAAGATTGATGAACAAACCCACAATACGATAATAATGGTAATAACAAGTAATTATCAAGAACAACAAAAGAAAAGAAGAACACACAAGAAAGAGAAGAATGAGAGAAGAAAATATTTGGAGAAAATTGTTACCCACAACTGTGGGATTTCTTATTGCTTATAGAACTTTCACTTACTCAAACTACAACTGTGAAATCTGTTCTATGTTATGATTGAATACAAAGCAAGACACCCTATTTATAGTTTTAGGTTTACAAAAGCCCAAAACATAAAAGGCCTAAAATATTCAAATCAAATCTAATCATATCAAATCAAATCTGTTTACACTATGAATTATATTTAACACACCACCTAATTCATTGTGTCTAAACTCTCTACATTCATCATGACTCTTAGTCTTCTGAAGGCTTCGACCTACACTCCCTTCGTCATGATATCTGCAATCTGATTCTCAGTTCTGCAGTGTTCCAACTTCATCTTCCCTTCTGCTACCTACTCTTGAAGATAATGGAACCTCATTTCGATATGCTTGCTTAAGTCCATACAGGGCTTTATGAAGCCTGTACATCTTTCTTTCTTCGCCTTGTTTCACAAACCCAGCTGGTTGTGCAACATAAACTTCTACGTCTAAGGGGCCATTAAGGAATGCACACTTCACGTCCATCTGACATGTGTGCCAGTTGTTCATATTTGCTAGACCAACAACCAACCTGATTGTTTCGATTCTAGCAACAGGTGCGAATACTTCATCGAAGTCGATTCCTTCCTTCTGAAGAAATCCTTTCGCCACAAGTCTCGCCTTGTGTCGAGTTACTTCTCCTTTAGGATTTACCTTCACCTTGTAAACCCATTTCACATCAATTGCCTTCTTGCCTTGCGGCAATTCGACAAGTGACCAGGTATCGTTGACTTCGATGGACTCCAACTCTTCAGTCATTGCTTTCATCCACTTCGAATCTTTCAATGCCTCAGCTGCATTGACTGGTTCGACATCTGCGTAAAAAGAATAATGTACCAACTCACCCTCTTCATCGACTACATCATCTGATGTAATTACACATTCTTGCAACCTTGCAGGCATGTGTCTTGTTTGTCGAGGTCTGCTTGAACCTGCTTCATCTGCAACTGGTTCCTGTCGAACTTCTATTTTGACTTCAGTGGTTGGTTCTTCACAAGAGATTCTCACTGAATCCTTCTTGGCATTCTCAGTCCAATCCCATTCTTTAAGCTAATCTATGATCACATCCCTGCTGATCACTACCTGCTTATTCATTGGGTCGAACAACTTGTAACCTCCTGTCGAATGATATCCTATCAAGATCATCTGATTCGACTTATCATCAAGCTTCCTTCTCAACTGATCTGGCACATGTCTATGTGCTATAGATCCAAACACCTTCAAGTGACTGAGACTAGGCTTGACACCAGACCAACATTCTTCTGGTGTGATTCCTTCAAGCTTCTTCGTCGGATATCTGTTCAATATATATGTTGCTATCGAAACTGCTTCTCCCCATAATTCTTTAGGTAGATACTTTCCATTCAACATACTTCTCACCATATTCATGATGGTTCTGTTCTTGCGTTCTGCAATCCCATTTTGCTGTGGAGTGTAAGGTGGCACCACTTCATGCACAATCCCTTCTTTTACACATAGTGTATCAAACTCTTTCGACACATACTCTCCACCACCATCAGTCCTCAGAATTTTCAGATTTCGACCACTCTGTCTTTCGACCATGGACTTGAATATGGAAAATACCTCAATCACATCACTTTTCTTCTTGATGAGGTAAGTCCACAGCCTTCTACTGTAATCATCTATAAACGTGACAAAGTATCTATTGCCACCAACCTAATCCACCTGGATTGGACCACATACATCAGAGTATATGACTTCAAGTATTGTCTTCGACTTCCTTCCTGCATCCTTGCTGAAGCTATTCTTGTGTTGTTTCGACTGAACACACTCCTCACAGACTTCACTTGGAATGTCGATTTCTGGTAATCCTGAAACCATATTTCTTCTCTTCAGTTCTCTGATGTCATTAAAATTGAGATGACCTAGTCAAAAATGCCATAACCACCCATCTCTGCTGGCTGCAGTTGCTAGACACTTGTGCTCCATCACATTGAGTCCAATCTTGAAGGTCCTATTCTGAGACGTTGGAGCCTTCAAGATTAATCTACCACCTGCGTCGAGCACTCTCATCATCTTGTCTTCGACAACTACCTTGTAGTTCTTTTCGACAAGCTGCCCTATACTGAGCAAATTACTCTTCATGCCTGGTATGTACAACACATTGGAAATTGTTGACCTTTTGCCATCTTTCCTCATAATCAGAACATCACCAACACCTTCGGCTGCTAGAGTGTTGTCATTTGCAAACTTCACGGTGTTCTTCGACGAGGGCTTCATTTTGACAAACCAATCTTTCCTTCCAGTCATGTGTGATGAGCATCCTGAGTCCAAGTACCACTGATCTTGGAATCTTTCTTCATCTTTTGTTGTGACCATTAGCAATGTTTCTTCTTCTTCATGTTTCGCCAGCTTTGCATCAGTCTCTTGATTTCTCTTCCTTTCTGGACAATCACTAGCATAATGACCATACTTTTGGCAATTGAAACACTGAATGTGGCTTTTGTCTGGCTTTCAACCACCACCTCTTCCTTTACCTGCAACACCACCTCTTTGGTTGCCTTGGTTCCAAGGTTTCTTCTGATTCGACTGGTTTCCTCCTTTGTTGCCATTCCACCTACCTTTGCCTTTTCTTTCCTTTTCTGACTGCGCCTGCAAAGCCATATCTTTCGACTTTCCTGCAGCTCTCTCAGCCATCCTCTGTTCATGAGACTCAAGAGTCCCTTGAAGCTCTTCCTTCGTCAATACTGATAGATTTTTCGACTCTTCTATGGCAACTACCACGTGGTCGAATTTTGGAGCCAACGATCTCAAAATCTTTGAGACAACTGCTTTCGTCGTTAGCGCTTCTCCACATACTTTGATTTGATTCACCAACTTCGTAACTCTGGTGAAGAAATCTGTAATGCTTTCGTTGTCTTCCATCTGAAGCAACTCGTAGGTTCTCTTGTGAGTTTGTAACCTCACCTCTTTCACCTTCTATGCGCCTCCAAATGACTTTTCAAGAATCTCCCATGCTTCTTTTGCTGAATCAACATCACTAACCTTTTCAAAGTTATCAGGATCGACACACTAATGAATTATAAAGAGTGCTTTATAATCCTTCTTCTTCAATTCTTTGTGCGCAGCCTTTTCCGCCTCCGTTGCGTTCTCCCCAAGTGATGTTGCTCCATCTTTCACAAGATCCCAAAGATCTTGATAACAGAAGATCACCTTAATCTTCTTGCACCAATTCTCATAGTTGTCTTTCTTGAGAATTGGCAGGGTCGCCGGAAAGTTGTCGTTCGGATAATTCATCGCCATCACTATCTTCCTTCCTTGAATCTTTCAACCGGAGCTCTAGATACCAGATGTTGGAAATTCACCTCACACCCTATGAAGAATTCCCTTCAATCTTGATCTCAAGATTGATGAACAAACCCATAATATGATAGTAATGGTAATAACAAGTAATTATCAAGAACAACAAAAGAAAAGAAGAACACACAAGAAAGAGAAGAATGAGAGAAGAAAACATTTGGAGAAAATTGTTACCCACAACTGTGGGATTTCTTATTGCTTATAGAACTTTCACTTGCTCAAACTGCAACTGTGAAATCTGTTCTATGTTATGATTGAATACAAAGCAAGACACCTTATTTATAGTTTTAGGTTTACAAAAGCGCAAAACATAAAAGACCCAAAATATTCAAATCAAATCTAATCATATCAAATCAAATCTGTTT